TATGATATCAAATAGAAAAAGGAAATAATTTTTAATTTGTTTCTATTCATCATTTGTGCCATTTTGAATCAACTCTCAAATTAGTAAACTCAAATCCAAACGGATCTTTTGCCGTTTGCCCCTCTTCTTCCTTGGTGGTTCTCTTTCTTCATTTTTCCTGATAGTTCGAAGCCAAGAAAATAAAATTCCTCACTAACAGAAACTTTATTGATGGTCCAAAAAAGAAAAAGACAGAAGTTTTATTGAAGTTTCAGATCAGGTAAGGAGAAGGAAATCTGAGATACTAATATGGTTGGAATGGAAGAAGGTGCCTGAAACCCAAAAAAAAAGAAAAGAAAAGAAAAGAAAAAGAAACCCTAGAAAAAGGTCGAAGATTTTGGGATTTCCACCTTGAAACCCTTGAAAAAAAAAATGAAGATTTAGAAGATCTGGAATTTCCAAGGAGTTAGTATTGAGCATTACCCAAAAAATAAAGTTAGCATAAATGATTTCCACTTCTTGATGACCCCCAACCATCAGTACCAATTTAATTACCCAAGTTTTATGCATCTTCTTCTTGCCTAGAATGAAGATTTAGAGAGAAATTGATGGAGTGGGTAGATGGATTTACAAAGTAATTTGATGAATTAGGCTTTGGAAAAAAGAGATTAAGGTGGCCTGCAAGTATCTCCATGGAGATGGAACACAGAATGGAGAAGGATGAAGACAAGCAAACGGTAGAAAATGGAGGAGGAAGGCACGTTACGTTGAGTTTTTTATGGCCCACAACATGATTACGTGTCAAGCCATAATTGGTTTGGGATACATCCCACGTGGTATCACCGTGACATTGTAGACTTTCTCTTCTGTTTGACCCTTTGTTAGTTGGTTAAATGTCGACTTAAGAATTTATACATTTTTTATTCCTCAATCTTTTAGGCACCTTTGTTGTTTTTCAACTATGAAAAATTAACTCTTTTAATTCATCAATTAATTAATTTGTTAATTTTATTTATATATGTACATTTTCAATTCCTCAATTTTGAATTTTGCATAAATTTTGTCCCTTAATTTAAAGTTTAAGGATTACAAATGTACATATATAAACAGATTTAACAGACTAATTGATCAAAAGAACTAAAATATATATATTTTTTATAATTGAGAAACAAAAGTTATGCATAAAAAATTAAGAAATGAAAACTATACAAAAATCCAAAGTTAAGGGACTAAAATGGATATTTAACCTCATTAGTTTTGATCCCAATCTCACGAAGGTTCAAAGGATTAGTAAGGGATTAAAATTACTCTTTGGCAAAGATTTGAATATGATGAAAAATAAGTATAAAAGGTCTGACCTTGGTAATTCAGAAGACTAAAAAATGTGAAATGAGAATTTATTTGCAGGTAAATTTCTATCTTCATACCCAAAAAAAAAAAAGAGAGAAGAAGAAAAACATAGCAGAGAGCCAAATATTGAAATGAATTAATCATGCAAGATCATAAAAAAAAATGAACATTGTTTTCCATTTAAAATTTATTATCCAGTAATTTATTTTGAACTACTAGTTCTCTTGCTTGCTATCTCAAGCAAGGTTAATATAACATGAAAGGAGAAAAATGAGGTTGATAAAACAGAGTTAGCCAAAAGGGCATGCATAATGTCTATATGCGTCTGAAAATTGCTAAAATAGAATGAACATTCAAATTCACGCTGGCCGCTGCGGAATTGGGAAAAGATTGTTTTGCTTTATCATTTGGAATGGGATGGTTCTGGCACAGGTGGTGGTGTAGCAACAGTTAGTCCGAAATGGTTATGACAGGTTGAAGTTTTCGACTGTAGAATAGCTTCATCACAAATTCATGGCCTGAACCACCCACCATTGCTTCTCTTCTTTCTGATAATGGGGTTGTGTGCACCCAAAAGTCTACCAGATGGTGTATTTCCAATGAAGAACCCACTGGCTGCCCTGCTAATGAGATTTCCACCTGCAAGAATGATCCAAGAAGAAGCCGAATTCAAAACTTGAAAATCTCCATACTTTAGTATCTGATCCTTAAAATGATGTTAGCAATAATACTAAAGTGTATGCACTTATTCCATCATGACCAAATCAGAGTGTGTTTACTGAAGTACACAACTGTTGGCTCACACATATAAGATGTATATAAAGAAGTGGAGAGAAACTTGATGTTTACCTCAGCCTCACTAAAAAGACCCAGTTTTTGTGCGAGATACTTCTTCATGAATAAAACAGTTAAATTGCGATCCCTACAAACAGTTAAAAAGAATTGATCAGTACACATAGAATAGCTAAGAACTGTAGTCATTGTAAAGAACTGGAACAATCAGCAACAGAATGATAAAACAGTTCTTCTAAACCTCAGTACGTTTTCAAATCATCAAAAACAGAATCAAATTATCTATAACTCATACAGGTGGAGCAATGTGTTTCAAATTTTATGAGGTTATAATGTGATAAAACGTAGTTTAATTACAATGGATAATGAATATTTCTTAAAGAATCATTAATGTACTGAAGAGAATTGTGCAATAAAACAAAGTTATTCATGAGAATTTTCTTTTTGAGAAGCAAATACATGAAAGCAGCAGTGCTAGTACACAGCTGTAGCAGGCTAAAGAAACTTACTTGACCCTTAAGTAGCGCGAAGATATCTGAGGCAAAGGTTCATTTCCCTCCCTAAAACCATGAAGAATCATAAGCACAAAATGGAAGATTTTAGAAGAATTTAATTGTAATAAATTCTTCAAGTATGCCAAACAAATAAAATCTTACTGGTCAACAGAAGCCAATAACGTGAACCATATTGGAATGGATCTTGCATCAAAATTGTTACTGTTTCCATCAACCAAAGCCTGTGCTGGAGCTGAAGGAGCTGGAGGAGGTGGGAGGGCTGGAGGAGATGGAGGAGGTGGAAGAGCTGGAGGAGATGGAAGAGCTGGTGGAGATGGAGGAGGTGGAAGAGCTGGAAGATTCAAGTCCTCAAGAAAAGCTGGTTTTTTCTGTTGAATGCCTCGAGACCTTCTAGGTCTTGCTGAGGTTGAAGGTCCAGCCATTGAGTCATTTTCATTATCAGGAATTTTGGGATCATTGCTGCTTTTCTTAACACTTGGAGGTATTGAGTCAGTTTCACTACCAGGGACTTTTGACATGTTACCATTTTCTTCAACACTTGGTACTTTTGAGTCTCTTTCATTACCGGAGAATTTTGACATGTTACCACTTTCCCCAACATTTGAAAGATATACTTTATTTCCAAATAAATTAATTACTATAGGTTTTGCAACGTTTTCTTCTGAGCTCTTGTGAGGCTCTTCTTTGCTTGCAGCTTCTACCAGATGATTCAGAGGATTCCACAAATCAGCTATCCCGGCCACTGTTTCCACATGATTTTCTCTACGACTATTGAGGATCTGTTGCTCAGATGACTCAGCAACAGTGTGATTCTGCACTTCTAATGCTTCAGCATGGTTTTCTGTATCTTGATCAGGCATGTGTTGCTTAGAAGACTCTCCAACAGTATAATTCTGCAAAACAAAGTTTTTCTTATATTGTAAGGGCAAAGGCACATAAAATTGAAAGGGTTCAGAAGGAAGAATGTTACCAGTTTCTCTTTCCCAAAAACAACAGTCCTTTAATTACCTGCATTTTAGTTTCTGCATTCATGCTGTGAGTCTTTAGTGAGCTTAAATTCTGTGGGCAATCTTCCACCTCTTTAGCAGGTTTCTCAATGTCAATCAGTTGAGTAGATTCTTCTGGAGCAGTTTTTCTCCTCAGAGGAAGTTTTGATCTTCTCCCTGTCACGTATGACCTTCTTGGTGCTCTTGATGTGCTGGCCCCCAACGAAGACAGAGATCTGTCCTTTCTCTTAGCCGGCAATGGGAACATTTCAGGTGCGGCAGGCTTCACTCGTTTTGAGGGAAAGATTTTCAACCTTAAATCTTGCAAACTATTATCTACCCTGAAAGTATGGGAATGCACCAAAGATAGTCATAATCAGAAACTTGCTTGCACAGTTTCTTGTCCTCAAGAGGTAAGATAAACTTTGATAAATGTCCGTAATGTTAGCATACAAAAAATTAAGATAGAGCCTCAATGTGATGATCTGATATATGAAATCCTAGGGGGAAAACATGCTTCAAGTGCCATTACTAAAATTCCTTCTGGAACAGATATTAACATATCAAATTGGTGGGAAGTGGGTGAACCATATAATCATTCAATTGCCTAGAGTACTATCTTTGTTTCTTCACCTTGTAACACAGACGTCTAGAAATGAAGCTTTTATATACTTAAATACATCCTTCTGTTGTAGATTTCCTGGATGCATTACAGTTTATTATCTCAGTAATTCATAAGTACATGAAAAAACATGAAAAATATACATGTAACATCTAAAAACAACAATAATTATGAACATCTAATGGACTAATTTTTGAACAACAACAGTTGCTTTTCAAAATATGGCACCAAGGAATACACTATTTCTATTATAGTATGTTAGGTTCATTTTCAACATAGAGTGCACTAGGCAAGTAACCATCATTTGAGCTTCCAAAATATAAATTGATGGAAGAATATAATGTTTAAATACCTGAGTTTCTCTAGTGGAGCAACACCTAGATCAGTTTTGCAAACTGGACAGTTATTTATATCCTCTTCTGTTATCTTCTCATATATGCACTTCCTGCAAACTGTTTTTGAAATTGAGAAACACTGATCAGACAGTGTTCAGTGATATGTCTGTCATATGCAACTCAAGGCATTCATGACATACTGAAAACTCAAATGTAATGCAGCACTTAAAACAGTCCATAACCCATAACCCATATGATTGCAGGAAATAACAAAAACATGAAAAAAACTGAAAATGGAAATTGGGAAACAATGGTTGTATCAATTGTAATTAATGAATGAGATTAACAAAGACAAATCTTCATATTTTGATAGTTAAACTCAGTGGAGAGTGTTCAATGGACTTGAGGTACTAATGTTTGTGATACTGCAGATGTAGCAGTAACGCTGAAGTTACGAGTAAATCCGAAAGCATGCATACTAAAAAGCAATGTCAGATGGAAACCAAGCAGCTTGACATCTTGCAGGAGTCTAGAATGGTGTACTTTGGATTGATTACAGAAGAAAACAAATGCATTGAATAAGAATCCTAATTGCAGCCTGAACCAACAAGCTATGTCAACTAGCTCTCCAATTAAGTATGTTAACTTCAGAAGTCGTAGGCAGATTATCACACTAAAAAATTTTCACACGCATTGTCATACATCATTAAAAGCACTACAATTACCAAAAGGAGAATGAACTTCAATTCCTGCATGCACTCGTAATTAAGATACTCGTGCTATCATTGAACAATCTACATAAACCATGCATCAAAACATTCAAAAATTACCTCTTGATTTTACGTAATCCACATTTTATTACTTCTTACATCTTTCCAAGTTCATGTTTACCATTAAATGAAAACCAACCAAAATCTGAAAATTTTCTCCGTAAACACCTAAGCAGCCCCAAAGGAAACCCAAATTCAAAAACAGAAATCAAGAAATACCCACATAAGAAATAAAAACAAAGAAAAACCATCCAAGGATTACGTAAGATACGACGAATCCACATAGAAAGACACAAAATTGGCATCGAAGACAAACAATCAAACAATAATGAATGACAATGAGAGGCTGAGAGTGGATAGAACAGGAGAAACTCACAGGTATGGAGGCATTCAGATATGGTGGTAGCATCCGTGAAGAGATCATTGCAGAGCGGACATGTCATGCATGCTGCGAGCTTGTCTCTCTTAACTTTCGCCACCTCACTGCTACTTTCCTTCGTCATCTTCTTCCCCACCACCTATAATTACCAGCAGCAGCACTATCACCCCCATTCTAACTCACAAAAACAGAGACAAAAACACAACACCCCCTGTAACCCCATACTCCTTCCCCTACTATTCTTCACGTACTCCACACAATGCATGTAAGGAACAGAAAATACCCGATAAAATCATGAATAATACCAGGATTGTTCCTGGGCAAATCGAAAAACAATGGGTGTATGGCAAAGGGTTGTGTTGAATCGATGATCAATGGATTGTTTCCCCTGTTTTTGTGGGGGTGGGGAGGGTGCTTGGTGGGCAAGAAAAACGGAGAGAAAGTGGGAAAATTTTGGAGAAATCGACGTGGGTTTTGTGCGATTTAGACAATGGCTGCGGAATTGATTATCTGTTCGAGGCTCGACACACCATGGATTTAAGGATTTGATTATTACTCATATATATACACGTTGCCTTCTCCAGAATCCAGAAAGATATAATTCAGGGAATGGGACTAAATTGCGCCGTTGTATATGCACCCAGTTAAAGTTCTGTTTGGGAATGTTTCGAGTTGTTTTAGTATTAGGATTTTTTTTAAAAAAATAAATAAATAAATAAAAGATTTTAGATTATATTGTAAAAAAATTTTTTAAAAAACTCTTAAAATTATATTGTTCTAATAAAATTTTATTAAAAAATATTAAAATATGATAATTATTTTTAAAGTAAAAATGAAAATATTTTAATCTTTTCTCTTAATATTTTATTAAAACAACATAATTTGAAAATATTTTATCTTAATTTTTTTTTATAAATTTAGTTTATAAACATTAATTATATCTATAATATTAATTAAAATAAATATTAAATATATTTTATATATTTTGATGATATTAAAAAGCTTAAAATAATATACTATAATTACAGAACACCACTTCCAAACTAAATTTTATGCTTCCTTTTTACCCATCCCCCATTTTTGTTTTTGCCATTCCTGAGTTAAGCCTATTGACCTTTTTTTTTTCTTTTCTTTTTGATGGAAAATGGAAAGTTACCCCATTGTCTTAGTTTTTCTCAATTTTGGTGCTCAATTTTATTCTTTCACTAAGTACACCCCTATTAGAATACACATTATGCCAAGGTCAAAATTATTTGACGGAAAAAATATGTAGATGTAAATGTAATGTTTCTGTTAATGCATAATCTAGTTAGCTCCTCATCCTAGAATAAAAGGTGGAGACTCAACCCTTTAAATGTGAGTTGTGATTTAAGGCAATTCAATGTGTGACTCAAAATGACTAATTCATAACATAAGGTGATACATATTCACTAATTCTAATTGTGATGTCTCCATTAATGCATGATAACCTTAAGAGAGCTCTTTATTGTACAATAAAAATTAATATTTTATATGACATGATTTGAGTGATAAAGAACCCATCATTACTTTTAAGATATGAAAAACTAGCAAGTTTTATCCTATTCAAATTGATGCCCATTAAGCAATCCCTCGTGTGATTTAGTGGTGACCACGCTACTCATTACGCAGCAAGTGGAATACACGTTGATTATGAGTTTAACTCTCTCAAGAAACAGATAATAATTAACTTAATCTAAAATTTCTTATTGTCAAAAAAAAAAAATTGATGTCCATTAAAAATAATAATAATAATAATAATCCTACCCAAATTGGCTATATCAAACATTCAAGTGGGATAAGGAAATTGACTAAACAAGGCATTTAATAATATACAGTACAGGGCTTGATCAGTCCAAAAATAACTTTGATGGTGAAATTGAAAAAAAAAAAAAAGAAACTCTAATTTAAAGGGTTAACTTAGTGGTTATTTCAACAAGTAAGGTTTTTTCTTTTTCTTTTTCTTTTTTTAATAATAAAGGTTGGCCCCCTTTTTTGTGCTCTTACGGCGCAGGAAGTTCTGGGTGAAGGAGCAAGTGTCCAACGGCGCACGATAGCAAATGCCACGTGGGATGTCACGTGGAAGTAATGATGGAAAGCTTGCCAGGTCAAAACTCAAAAACTGTGCTCTTCTGCCAAGTAAGGTTCCAAGCAGGCAAAGAAAGATTATGTGGGGTCCATGCATGTCAAATGTGTGGGGGCAGTGGGGCTCACATTTTTTAGTTATTTTTTTCATTTCATATTTATAGCTGGGCAAAAACCGGTCTGTTAGCCCCCAAACTTTCCTTAGATTAGATGATAAGCATCTAAATTAATAACCTCGAAAATAAACCATTTGTCTTCATTACTCTTAACAAATTAGCGTTAATTTATGGTTGTTCTTAGATTATCAAATAAAATATATATTTTCTTTGATATAAATATATAAGATTAGTGCATATCAGTCTAGACTATCAAAAAAAATTAGAGTCCCAATTTGTATTTAGAAATTGAAATTTCAATTTAAAATTTAGAAATATAATCATTTTTAAATTTAAATATCAATATTTAATAACATAATTTTTTAAATTTTAAATTAAATTTTAATTAAATAAAATTACGTAATTTAATGTTAGTACTTTAAATTTTTTTAAGAATTGAGACTGATGTGCATTTTTTTTGAAATATATTGTCAAATAAAATATATTTGAATAATTGATCTTATGTTCTTTTCTTTTGACCAAAATTGATCTTATATTTAGTTTCCAAAATAAGCTTGTAAGAAACTAAGAATGTTAAGAAAAAACATTTGGTGTATAATAATAAGGTATTTTTTATCTTTAATTGTAAGATGATAATAGACTTATATCCTTGAAATGCAGCTTATTCATATTTATAGTAAAACTAATGCTGTGATAAATTACCTTTACTAAGTTTGGTTTTAAGGTTAGATTGCAATATTGTTGTTTTGGGGCAAGGTTCTCCCAAACTTTGGTGTCATTTGTACTCGGATGCTATTGGGAACTTTATTCCATGTCAATATGACTACATAATATATATTTTTCTTATTTACAAAGAAAGTATTTTGCTAAAGTTTAAGGACTAATCAAAATATTGACTAATTAAGGGACTATCTACAATGAACATTTTTCCTTTTGCACCAAGCCATTTTTTTAATATGTAATGTCACATTCTCTTTTTTAATTGTATAGGAAATACGATTCTTTACCATGTTGCTGCCAATTATCTCTCTCTATAATATTCTCTATT